AGCATCACATTGGAGCCGAAAAGTATCATTAGACATATTCAAAATTTCAGTTGGCCAGAAATTCTAGTTTATTGTTTATAAGAATACATATATACATCCTTGCATTTTATTTTATTTATTTATTTATTTTAATCTTAATTTACTATATTTTATTCTATTTTATCTAATTATATGTGTTTTATCGTATTTCAGTGTATCTTACCTTACATCATTTTATTATATTTCCCTATGGCGGATGCTTATGTTCTCATAAGTTCAACTGACTAATCAATAAAGTATTATTGTATTGTGTTGTTTATTGTTTATAAAAAGCATGTTGGTATACAACACATGGACATATGCTCCCTATTGCATAAGTAGATAAAATTAGCCAGGAATGGACAACTTATTTTGATATTTGTTTATTGGGTTTACAATCTGGAGGTGTTGCTATTTTATGAAGAGGCTTGTTTGAGAGCAATTAATCAGAATCCTTGGTTCAAACGTGACAGTAATCTGTCCATTCCTGGTTAATTTTACCTGCTCATAGAAGGAAAAGATGAGTAACCAATCTGTACTGCAAAATTTTTCACAATAAGCCCAGAATGTTGGTTTATTGTTATGTTTTCATCATATTCAATTATTTGAATCTGATTTATTAATAATGTTCTACAATAGATCTTGAAACTGCAATGTAGCTACCTCTTGATGGCTATTATGTTCATTCCATGCCAGAAAAATTCTCTGTCTTCAGTTTGGTAATAATGTGGTAATTTTCTGGAGGAGAAATGGCAGGCCAAATATGGTTCCATGAAAAGCTGTTCAGACAAGGAGAAGACTTGAGGACATGAGATCATCTCCAGATAGCAGTTGTTGATTTTTTTAAAATATATTTGGATTGAAAGGTTTTCTTCTTAATATAAAATACAAATGAAAATAAAGACAGTAGGAAAAAAGTGGGAAGAAAAAAGAAAGGGGAGATAAAATGAGGGGAAGAAAGAAAAGAGACAAAAAACCATGATTTCCAGCTTTTGGTACGGTAAGATACATGCCAGAGATATAATACAAATGTTTTATTCATCTAGAACAGGGGTAGGCAACCCAAAACACTCAAAGAGCCACTTGGACCCGTTTCCCACCAAAAACAAAACACTGGGAGCCGCAAAACCCTTTTGATATCTAAAATGAGGATAACACTGCATATATCCTTTTTTACCTTTATTATAGGTGTGTGTATGTGTGTGTGTGTATGTATGTGTATATGTGTGTGTATACACACACACACACAGACACAGACACACACACACATATACACATTGAAAATAAAAGTAAAAATATGACTCTTGGGAATATCCATACTATTAAAACAATGATCACCAAGAGAATGCTTTAAGAGAATAAAATTACATACACACACAGGTAAAAAAAGGATATATGCAGTGTTATCTTCAGTTTAGATGTCAAAAGGGTCTCTCCTTCCCTCCCTCTCTATCTGCCCTTGGTCTGCCACTCCTCTTCCCCCACTCTCTCTCTCCCTCTCTCTCTCTTTCTCCCCCCCCCTCCTATCTGCTGCTCACCTGGCAAGCTTCAAACTGTTGTCCAACAACCTCCGGGGTAAGCAACCTCATCTCTTTTATGACTCATGGACTTCAACTCCCAGAATTCCTGAGTCAGCCTAGCTGGGCTAGCTAGCTCTCTCCTGCCCTTCCTGCTTCCTGCTTCCTTCAGAGACGCAGCAAAGGGAGGAGCTCCGCCCAGAAAGCTTTTCAGCTCCTCGGAGAACAATGTGAGTGCACTCTCTTTTATACATATATATACACACACACACACACAAAACACACACACACACACACACACACACACACACACAGAGAGAGAGAGAGAGAGAGAGAGAGAGAGAATCAGGGAAGTGCAATTGCCTCTCTCTGTCTCTGTCTCTCTCTGCAAAGGCAGAGGAGGCTGGGAGCCACAGGGGAAGGCTCAAAGAGCCGCATGCGGCTCCGGAGCCGCAGGTTGCCGACCTGTGATCTAGAATAATGAATACTAACCATTTCTATAATAATACTAACCTACTTAATCAGCAAAGCCCAAAATCATTTTTTTCTCTTTCAAGCAGAAAGTCCAGAAGCAGTCTCCAAGTAGAAACAAAGCTATTTATATTCTTTTTCCTAATTAGTGTAGTTAACATTGCCATTGAATAGAAAAGCTCAAAAAAGTAGTGCACGATCAGAAGATGTGGAGAGACCTGGCCCATAGAATCACTAAAAGTCGGATATGACTGAATGGATAACATCACCATCATCAATTTTGCCATCTCTGCCAGTCCTATCATTTTTTCAATCCATTTTTCCATCATGGGAGTTGATACTTCTTTCCATTTTTGAGCATATAATATTCTTGCTGCCATCAACACATACAATAACAAAGTTCCAGATTTTTTTCCCCGTTTCTTTTATCCAGTAGTCCTAGATGAAAAATTTCTGGTTTCCATTGTAAATCCATTTTAAGAATCTTCTGAATTAAAGCATAGATCTGTTCCCAATATTTCTTTGCCTCAGATAGGTGCTCCTCATGAAGAGATCAAAGATAGTGGTCTTTGGCAGGTTTAGAGCTCTGGGAGATGAGGGATTAAGCCATCTTGCTCAAACCAAAGTTGGCCTTTTTGAAAGGACACTTAAGTTCATATATTTCCTTTTCTAATCACTTTTGAATGCTTATTAATTGCTTATCAGCTATTAGAAATCTTTGGATTGACAAGTTTGACAGGTGAGTCTCTATCAATCCTTAACAAAAAAAAGTTTTAATTACAAGTTTAAGAAGTTAAAAAAAATTAATGAACAGCAAAAGGATGATTAAAACCTTTTGAAAGTTTTCATTTTACAAAGTTACGAATGGATTAAGGGTCCAGATAAATTTGAAATAAGATTTTGGAATTAAATATAAAAAATCCTTTCCATGGAAAAATATTTTGGTTTTGATATTTTTAAAAAAGCACAATAGATTTTTAAAATATGGACCCTTGCAACTAAAGATTGCACTTAAGACAGAAGAACACAAATTACAGACTGAAAGATATTTTGGAAAAATAAACTCAAAAATTATTTTTATAATATCAACAGAAACATCTGCTTCTGTGTACAGACTGAGTCTAAAAAAATGTTATGGAAAGGAACAAAGTTTACCTGACAAGATTGATACTGAGTTGAAAATGAATTTACAAATGACAGGCTACAAGAATGACATAGAAAAAGATGCTACTCTGGAGATACAAAAGAAACCAGATGTTGTTTTAATAATTAAAATGGATGTACAAACAATAAACCAAGACAATGACTTGGATAGTTTTCCTATATTGGATTTACAGAAGAGGCTTGTTAAAATATTGAAAATTCTCATGAGAAGAGACAAAAAAAAAGTTCTAAGGCATTATTTGAATCGACTAAGATTTTGTTAGAAGTAAAAGGAAGGAATATAAAGTTGATGTATTTGATCAAGATAAAAATAAATGTGTTATTATACCTGGTAACGCTTAAAGGACTTTTAGTGATACCAGGATTGAAATGATTATGCTTTATGGATTTATTTATAGATAAGAGAAAGGATATGGAAAGCAGAGATCATTTGTTGTGATAAGTTAGTAAAATTGTGTATATGATGAAGTTGGGAAATCACTTCTTTACATATTACTTTTCTTTTTCTTTAGTCTAATATTTCTATTTTTCCTTTCTTGTTTGTACTTTCTACTTTTTAATCTTTATTTTTCAGTTTGTACTAGTTTTTATTGTTGTAATTAATTGTTAATAAAATTAAAATAAAAAGGGCAGTCATAGAAATTAATGTTCATTAAGTAGCATGAGATTTTTTTAAAAAAGGGAGGAAAAGTACTTGTACCTCCCCTTCGTGTTCTTCTTGAAGCACAGAGGCAGAGCATGTGTAAAGGTTTACAACTATCAGCACTGACAACTATAGCTGAGCTTAATAGATCAGTACAGCTACATTATACAGTTTTTACAGGTTCCCCACAACTTAAGGTAGTAGCAGTTTTTGATATATGCTCATCTAAGTTGATATAAGAACCACCAGTATGAAATAGTATGTCTCTGCATTATTCCATGCCATGCAATATTATTTTGCCTTTAAAAAAAAATCTGTTCAGGAGCCAAATGTGTTTAAAAATATTTTTAGGGATGCTTCAAGGTTATTTGTTTATTTACACAGAAACACACACAGACACATTCAAGAGTCAAGACAGTTTGTAATTAAATAAAGCAGCAACCAAGTTGAATATAAATATATGACTGCCCTTCTACCTTCACTACCCAAACACTGAGAAGTTGTGGTATGTGTGGGGGCTCCTGCCCCTTTCTTGAAGGTTGAGAGAACTTTTAGTGTATCATCCTTCAGAGACTTGTATGGAATGGACTGAATCTTGGTGGGAAAAGAACACTGGAAACAATACAGCATTGCTCAAACTTGACTGGCCCTTGGCTTCAGATTAACAGCTACACACAGTAATAAAGATTAACAAAGTTATCTAGCATTACTCTTTCCCATCTCCCAATTGCAGCACTGCCACATGCTCAAGTGAAGTAGTTTCTAAAAATTAATTTCTTTTTTCAGATTGTATCCGTCTTGCGTGCTGAAAGACAAGATATATTCTTTCAAAATTTATCCTGTTTAGCTACTTCTTTGGAGTCTTGGCAGTCATCTGTGTTATATGCATCCAAAGCCATTTGGCAATTGTAGCTTTTCTGAGTAAACCTTGAGAATTTGAGGTTGCAGATTTTGTTTTGTTTTCTTGAATGCTGAGAAATATCTGTCAGGAATTGCAAAGTTTCTTGGCGAGAAACCATGATATTAAATTGCTTGTTGAAGGGTGTTGTGTAGAATCTTTTGTATATGAATATATTTATAATGTTATTTTCCATAGGCAATGCATTTCAAAAATATTAAAGTAATATGATGCAACATTAATTGTCCATTTTGCTGAAGGAAAATTTTTTTCCCCCCACTCATTTCAGAGTACCTGGAATAACAGTTGCTACAGACATCATTTGTGGGTTTCCAGGGGAAACCGATGAAGATTTTCAAGAAACCATGAAACTTGTGGAAGAATACAGGTTTCCAAGTCTTTTTATTAACCAGTTTTATCCACGCCCTGGGACTCCAGCTGCAAAAATGCCTCAGGTTCCAGCTCAGATAGTAAGACTTGCTTTTTCTTTTCCATCTTTAAAAAATAAAACATTTTAGGTGAAATATTATCCACATGTTATAGATATATTGAATGCTGCTGAATTTTTTTTTAAATCCTTTATTTTGCAATAGATGGGAGACATTATTCAAAATGAATTTTATTGAGCTCATTTAGTTAGAAGTTTTGTTGAAAAAAGTCTTACATCATTATACTGTTTATATAACCTACATTACATATGTACATGATATACAGTGTTAACTAGTACAAAATCAGAATTTTCATTATAATATTTTTTTTTTTGTAGCACCAAGTTCCCAATAATACAGATCAGAGGACAGGAGAGACAGAACAAAATAATGTTAGAGAAGGGACATATCACAGTGAATTGATCTGCTCAGATCTTCCAAATAATCTGTGTCCAATCTCAGTGACCAGACAGTGATGTCCCTAAGGATATCAGACTTTGGTGCACATTGATCCATTTCTTTGCATTGGAAGTATCTTTTCTCTCATTTGTCATCATGCTTTCCCCCCCTCCTTCTTTCCTTCCCTCATTTGCCATTATCTGAGATCAGGTAAAGACTCCCTCAAGTTGAGTACAAGTCCTGTTGGGCATATGCACATATTATTTTCTTGGTAATAACAGATAAGTGCTTTGGTATTTTCTTTGTCTAGGTTTTTTTTAACTTCCCAGTCCCATTTAGAGATTTCCTGGTAATCTATCACTGAAATATTAACCAAGTCTATCTCTGCTTACCTTTTCCAATATCAGCCACTAGAATAGGAGCTGTCTCCCAACTAAAGCCCTACTTCAGAAGTCCCCAATCCCTGGTCTGCGGCCCACTACCAGGCTTTGACCCATTTGGAACCGGGCTGTGGAAGCAGTGAGTGAGCACATGTGCGTGTGTATCTGCACTTGCATGCGCAGTGGGCAATTGTATGGGTGCGCGCAGCTCCATTTGTGCGAGCAGTGGGCACGTGTGCCTACACCTTGTGCAAATGGAGCTGTGAGTGCTCATGTTCTCACCCACTGCTCATATGTAACCATTTCTTCTCCCTCCCCCCCCCCATTGGTCCGCAAAATCGGAAAGGTTGGGGATCGGTGCTCTACTTCATCCACATATGATGTGTACAGAGACTTGTTTTCCTTTTTTCCCCCTAACATTCATTTTTTATTGTTATTCTGATCGAATGTAAATTGAGTCAAATTGAATTGCTGTAAAATGAGATTGTTAATAATGTTTGAATCTATAAGCAGGACCTTATATTAAAACCTGTTTTCATTTTCCATGTGTCATTTATTTCTTCTGTGCTGTTTTGATTTCAGTAACTGGACTGGATTTAGAGTTATAGGAATGAAATTCTACACATGCAGTAGGTACTATTCCTCACTGCAGCTCCCTATACTCTTTAAAAGCTATTTCTAAAAATCAAGAGACCTTCTCAGTCACAATAGAATATAACTCAGTTTGTTTGATTTCACTGATTCCCCCTTCCATTTTACCTTTCCAAGCCATATCCAATGGATGAGATCAGTGGAAATGGTAGTACAGTTGTGTTGTATGAGTGGACATTTAAGTCTGGAGCCACTTTTATGGTTGGGTTCACATGTAATGCGAATCCCCAAAATGTTTTATTTCATTTTTGATTTAATAGTTAATCCAACCATGCAATCCAAGATTGCATTCCATCGTCCATAATCTAGCCAAACTAGGTTAAACCAGGCCCCATCCTACTTCCACGTTTTGTTTCTCAGAACAACACCCAGATGCTTCTGGGAAGCTCACAAACAGGAACTCAGCAATTATAACTCATTCAGTAAGCCAGTGGTGGCGAACCTATGGCTCTCAGAGCCCTCTCTGTGGGCACGCGCGCCGTTGCTCCAGCAGAGTTCGTCAGAGTAGTAAGCATGTGGTGTTTGGAAGCGACAGGGCATGGAGTGAGTGAGCAAGCGGCATTGGCCCCCCGGGTATGCCCCGGAGATGGTGAGGGACCGGCCCCGGCCACACTCACCCAGTCTGCCGTGACCATTGCAGCCACGCCCACAAAGTGGCCCACGCCCCCCACAATGCTGATGCAGCCCTGGCACTTTGCGATAAGTGGTCTTTTGGATTGCAGTTTGGGCACTCTGTCTCTAAAACAGTGGTTCTCAACCTGTGGGTCGGGACCCCATTTGGGGTCGAACGACCATTTCATGGGGGTCGCCAAACAAGGCTGTCTGCCATTTTTCCCCCTTTTCTTTGGCCACGCCCCTGGCACCCGGTGATGTACAAGTGGTTGGGGGTCACCACAACATGGGGAACTGTATTATGGGGTCGCGGCATTAGAAAGGTTGAGAACCACTGCTCTAAAAGGTTCGCCATCACTGCAGTAAGCCATGATTAAAGAAACCAAAGAAATCCAAAGGGGATGGGACAATGCTAGCAAACACCAGCATTCTGAAAGACTCTGAACTCTGATGTTCACTAGCATTTTTGCCAGATTTCAGGTCCACTACCTGCAGTGTGTGGGAGGAACAGACCTCAAATGCAATGTCCCCTCTGCTTGCAATCTTCCCTGCCAGCTCTTGGCATTGACTTTCTTCGTAAAAGCAAATAGATTGCCAAGCAGCTGAAATGCAGTCATATGACAAGAGGTGCTTTACAGGCCATAAAGCACCCTTTCTGAGCCTGTTAGGATTGCAAATGGTTGTTAAATGACCAAGCGTAAGTTGAGGACTACCTGTAGATCCTGCCTTTAGTTCATGAGCTCAGAGCAGTGCAGAGATTGGTCTCTCCAGGATTTTCCCCACAATTGTAAATATCTAAGGTAGCCTGGCTGACAGAGAAGGACTGGCCAGTGAACTTCTGCAGGTGAACATGGAATAGAAGAGTATTTCTCAACCTTTGGGACTCTTAAGATGGGACTCCCAGATTTCCCCAGCCAGCATTCTGGGAGTCAAAATTTTAAAGTTATTGGGATTGAGAAACTCTGGAATAGTGCCTTCTTTTTCCACTAAAAATGGTGGGGAGAGTTTCTGGCTTAGTTTTTTCCCACTTACCAAAAATATACACTGGTGTAACAAACTGGGGAATGTACTCCTTGCATACTGGTGTCTGTTTACATCACTTGCTAGTAATTTTATTTCTCTCCTTAGAAGAAGAAAACTATTTTTTAAAGGGAACAGGGATTTTTTTTTCTTTGCAAAATTGTATCTGTTGGTATTTACTGAAAACAGATTAAAATGTGTTATTTCTGTATTGCTAATTTTCTTTAAAAATTTTGTTTCTCTTCTTTCCCTACAGAAGAAACAAAGAACAAAAGAACTGTCCAAACTATTTCATTCATACAATCCATATGATCACAAGGTAAAAATAAAATGCAGAATATTTTTAATTACACTCTGATATTCATATTATTCAATTATTAAAGCTAGCAAAGTCTTGGTCTATACCTGTTGGCTACAAAAAGGTATTTTAAGGAACCATCTGTGGGAAACAGAATCTAAGTATATGAAAAACAGTATTTTTCTTTGGCTGGAATTTAGGGCCCTCCATTTTGCTAGCTGTTTTAGTCATTGCTTTTCATGGATCAATGAATTGTCATGTCTTCCTTTTTTCATCTTCAGTGCTATATTTGGTTTTTAATTAAATCTCTAGAGCTTAGTCGGACTTTGGAACATTGGGTTCTTTTGACGTGGACAAGAATCTGCAGTTTTAAAATTTGTCATCAGTGGTCCATTTACCAGTCAGCTAAATTATTTGATTCATTTATACTGGTCTGGCGGGAATTTCAAACCATACTGTAGACATTTCTGTGGAGATGCTTCTTTCATATTTCCTCAGCCATAATTTTAGAGTTGTATGTTGGAATAGAGCAGCTGCCTTGACTACCAAACTCTGTGAAATGAAATAAAAAGAGATGACACAAACCCTGAAAAATTAAGCTACCATGTTGGATAATCAGCTACTTTACTTTACTTTGAGTGGAGAAAACAGGAATCTTCATTGTGATCTTGTTGCTGTATTTGAGAATCTTATTTTCAGGAAAAGAATTAAAAACACTATAGTTGATGAGTCAAGAATCATAGGCATTGTGCAATTATGCTGAGGGCCAACTGAAGCCTGACATGATTTAATAATAATGAGGGTGTGATTGTAGAGGTGAGTTAACAGTACTTTATTGCATATAAGAAGGCAATTCCTGCTCTATTCTGGATGTTTCTTGTCCTTCTCCTCTTCCTTTTCTTCCTCCTTGTAATACCAGGGTTAATAGGACAAATTTCAAAACATGTAAATTGATTTTAAAAGGAAAAAGAAGAAAAAACCATGGGATTGAGTCATTGCATCGTAGAGCAGAAGATACTTAAATTAAATGTAAGAGTATCTCAGTTAAGAAACAAGAGAAGCAACTGAGCATCCGGAAACCTTTGAAACATTTTCACCTCTGAATTTTGTGGTGGAACATTTTTTCCATTCATAATACTGCACCTCTTCCTGTTCTTTTATTAGCACTTCGGCTAGAGTTTGGCCATTGGTGTCTCTCAGCTCCATTCCAGTTAGTTTCTATTCTGGTACTATATATAAAATATCCTGAAATCACTCTTTCTTTGTTTATGAACATGTATGTTCATTTTTCATATTACTCAGTGTAAGGGGTGGAAAAGAATATAGGTATTTAGGTTTGTTATTCCAATACTTTCTTAGGTATTTTACCTTATCTAAAATAACAAAAGTAACAGAAATGAATGACAAATAGCTTTTGAAAGATATGTTTTGCAAGAGGAATATAGCAAAGTCAAAGATATGACCTTCCAAACAAATATGGGTTCCACAGATTTGCAGTTTGTATCTATTAATCTTAATTAATAAGTTCCTTTACCCAGATTCATTCCTGCTACCGGAAGCAGCTTCTCTATACAAATCCCATGCAGTTGTTTTTAGCTTAAACATTTGCTGTAACCTAATAATGTTCATAGGACGTTAACATTTCTAGGTTATAGTTTCTGTAATTCAATACATTCACGCAGCTGCTGCCTTAGGGTGGCCCAGCTATTTAATTCACTTTACATATTTTAGTTCCTAATATTTTCCACAGATGCAGTGCTTAATACTATAATTCTTTTCAATTCTTTGAAGTTAGCCGAAATGACTTCAGTGATTTTTTTCCTTCTATATTATGGCTATAATCCAGCAAAATCCTAATCTTTAAAGAAAATGGTGGGTGGTTTGTATTCTTCACTGTCCATCTTCCTTCTGTTCAGCGCAATTCCAAAATTTCTTTTACTTTCCAACTGGAAGAGACTGCTGAATTAGACAGGAACCCAAAAGCAGGGTGTGTGCATAAAACTCTGAAATAGGGCCAAAAGGATTAGCGGAGTGCCAGAAATATTTCCACGTGGAATCTAAATCATAAGATGTAGTAATTGCATAATTTGGATTTATCTCCATAGCTGCAGGGTTTTTTCCTGTTAGTATTTAGAAATTTAGCTTTTGAGAGTTTCTGTGCAAGGGAAGCTGAAGGAGAAAGCACAGTCTAGTTTTTGGTGTTTCAAACACTTGTCTAGTTTGTCATCCTCCCCACAGACATATGCAGAAATATATGCTTACTTGCTGACTGCAGTTTGACTAGAATAGAGCAGAACTCTTCCCAACCATAGAGAAGGTTTTCTTTCTTTCTTTCTTTCTTTCTTTCTTTCTTTCTTTCTTTCTTTCTTTCTTTCTTTCTTTCTTTCTCTCTCTCTCCTTCCTTCCTTCCTTCCTTCCTTCCTTTCTTTCTTTCTTTCTTTCTTTCTTTCTTTCTTTCTTTCTTTCTTTCTTTCTTTCTTTCTTTCTTTCTTTCTTTCTTTCTTTCTTACCTTTATTAATTTTACAAATAACTAAAGAGGGCAAGCATATCCACCTTCCTCCTGTTTTCTTCACAACAACAACCCTGTGAGATGAGTTGGGCTGTGAAAGTGTGACTGGCCCAAGGTGACCCAGCTGGCCTTAGCCATGAAAAAGGAGGGTCTGGAACTCATGGTATCCTGGTTTCCAGTCTATTGCCTTAACCACTAAACCAAATTGGCTCTCTTTTAAAAAAAAAAAATCATTTTCTTTCCCACTTTTTATCCTGAGCTTTTCAGATGCAATGAAGCATCTTTTTCTAGTTCTTAGGACATATCTATTTCCATAAGGATTCACATCTCAGAGACTTTGGACTGTGAGTTTAATAGCTCACAGTCCAAGAGCACTATAGTTGTGTTAGAACAAACAAACAAACAAAATGGCAGAGGTTAATACATGCCCCAGGAGTCTGTTGAAATCCTTCAGAGAAACAGATGTCAGAATTAACAAATAATGATGGGATTTCTTTTATCATTCTGAAAGTCTTTCTTCAAATTGGAAAAGTATGCAAACTAGGATTTTTCTAATTTAGTTTTTTTCTAAATTAGGTGGTGGGAACGGATTCCATCCATTCCTTCCATTCATGTAGTTGAAAGCTCTAAACTCATATCCTGGGTTTAAGCAATCTCATTCCATTTAGCATTTAAAAGCATGAGTCAAGGCATTTTATATCATTATATTATAATAATTATAACAGTATATTATTATATGATTTAAGGCCTGTCTGCAACATGATAATGAAGTATATTTGTGATTCAGATTGTCTTCATTTTGCAGTTGTATCTGTTTCAGTGATACTATTTTGCCTTGCATTTTGGAAATCAAGTTGCATTCCTAAATTCTGAGGCCTAACATGTAAAAAGTTATTCCTTTTTCATCTCAACTTTGCCCTTGACTATAATTTCTTTTCCCACTATTAGCTTATATTTATTGAAAAACTTGTAAGGTTAACTATAATCTTAAAAACAAGCAATGTAGAAACACTGTACATTATTTCTAGTATTATGTGGTATGCTTGTTCAAAATTATGTGATTATGATTCCTTTCAGATTCAAAAAAGCAGTTTCAGTGTTCTTTCCAATCCAGTATGATTTGTGTTGTTAAAATTTTATGTCAAGCCTCCCTTAAATTGTTTCACTTTCCCAGTATCAGCTATTTCATTTTTAAAGATGTTTTCATGTATTGCATAGAAGAGGAGAGGGTTTTTTTCCCCTTTTGAAAGCAAATAAGGGATGTTTAAGAAGATGGAATGTTTTTTACAGCTTAGTGCAGGAAGGTATGTTTTTGAGGGAAAATGTTTTTATTATAGCATCTCCTGTATTGAAATTTTTCTAATGAATGTTATCTTTGCTCCCTGAGGTAGAGTAGCTTCTACAACTTCTCTTTATAAAAGTCACATGGAAGGACACATTCTGAAGGGTAGCTAAATGGTGAATTAAAACTTATTTAAAAACTCTGTTAACTGTGTTGATTACAAAAAAAGTTTGATAATCAACATCTGGACAATAATTTTATTAAACTACATTCAAAATTATAAAATAATACCAAAAGCTTTTAAATTTGCAAATGCTCTATTAGCTATGATAGAAAAAAAAAGCTGAAGAGCAAATAGGAAGGATTAAAATTAGCTGCTGTCCGTGCCATAAGTCTGCATGTAGTTTCAATCTAATGGAATATGAAATAGCTGACAGATATGCATACTGATTTATGATGTGCTGATATGGTTTCCGATTATGCCAATGATTTCCCCAAGGCTGCCCTCTCCTGAAACAGATAATTTCTGAAATTATAAATCCAGACTTTCTTGCAGCCTCTTTTCCATATTTTTGAAGGTCCAAACAGTTAGGAAACTTTTGTAGTAAATTTTACCTTAGAAGATTTACAAAAGCAAGCAAGAAATATTTACAGAGTTCTTTGCAGTGTATTTCCCTTTCATTAGGCTTTTAAACAAGGTTAGTCTGAGATTGGTATTGTGTTGCATCCTAGAATCTTATTATATATTAGGCAGTATAATAAAACCCACTTATGAGATTGAGGCTAGGTTGAGCCTTATTTTTTTTCAGGTTTCCCTTAATAAGGTCTCTATTCCATGGACGACTAACAACAATAAGAAGACTCTCTGCTTGCCTAACCTACCACAAAGACTATAGGTCAGCTACGCAGAACAATACACAGTATAGATTATTTCCATAGGGATTGTTAATTAGGTTAAAGCTGTTGGATATACCATCTCCAGCCACCAAATTTTTCCTGTTATGATGCTGAATAAAGGAGATATCATCACCTGGTGTTCTACTTTCCATCTCTATTCTGCTCCCCTTATGTCAACAAAAGGTTTAAAGATGGAATGAATAACGGCCACTCTCTTGGGACTGTCAATGCTAATTACTCAGTGATATTTCCTGTGGCTCTGAAAATATGTCAAGTTTTTGAAAAATAAGTTGTATTTCTGTCTGTATCCTTAAAAAAACAGATTTTCACTT